CCTCCAAGTCAGTGATGTCTAGGGAATTTTTTAAAGCTGAATTCCCAGGTGATTTCCCAGTGAACACTCTCCAAACTCTCTTTCCTCACAGTCCAAGGGTGTGTTACTGAACACGAAGCCATAAACAGAGAAGCACTTTGTCTCCACCAGCACCTGAGGAAACATGGAACAGAGGGGACAAAGATGTAACAATAAGGGAAGAAAGATGGATGTATTTAGATGGGGAGCTTAGCAGGGAAGACTGGAAATGACACAGGTCACTGGCTGAACAAGCACAGGCTAGTCAAAGAACCTAAAAATTAGATGACCGATTTGGAATTTTTTCACTGTGAAATTTGATATTGTGTAAACTTCTATCTTGATAAATCTGTAACAGGAAATTCAGTTACGTATTCATACAAACCCCCCTCCCAGAGAGGGCAGGGTAAGACTGAAAGAAGGACCTGGTCAAAGATCAGTAACTTTACAGCAACAGGAGAGATCCCAAAAGCAGAGATATCTCTTCGTTGTCCTTTGAGGCTAGATGAATTCCCTTTGACCCACCACAACACTTACATCCCAATACACCTGTGGTTCAGAACTGAGTGACCCTTGCCAGGCCTCTGTGATTGTACCAAAAACCAAGTGTGCTACTCCTGAGCTGAACAGAAAATTTGGGCTATAAACTTACGTGGGCAGTTTTTGAGACCTCCCTCTACAGTTCTTCAGAGAGCGAAGAAGCTGCATGCTGCCAGGTGCCCCAGCCCCTGAAGAAGGGAAGGGTGCCGAGTTACAAGCACGTAACTCATGGTCTGAAGTCCTTAGGCTGGAAGGCAGTTAAAATAAAACTAAATTACTGCAATAACACACAAATACAGAAGAAAATTGACATCACACAGACTTGTTTCTTACTTACATGGTAACAGACCCTGAAGTGAAGACTGACACACCAAGATCAGCTGATGTCCCACTCCCCTTACTCAGTCAGATGGTAGACAGGGTACAAGTGTTTTCACTGACAAATGAAAACAGATTGTAAGCCTTTTCAAAAGGCTGGTGTGCAAACAGCCACCCCTCAGCAGAGTCTAGCCAGCATTGTTTAAACGCTACTTTGAGCAGGCTGAACCAATATTATACTGTGAGTAGCAACCAAAGACCTGACTGAGCACAACAAAAGAACCGACCTGCTTAGTCCTCAATCATGCCTGACATTTAGAAAATACGCTTGTCTCTCAGTATACAGTTTGTAATTAAGTCTCCCAGTATACAGTTTGTAATACGTGGAGCTACAGGAAAATGAGACATCAAATTACTTCTGAGAGGCTAAGATCAAGAGTGGCTCTTTGCAACTCTGTCTTTATTCAACTTCCCTTCTTGGGAAAACCACTAGCAGATGTCTGAGTAGCATAGGGCTTGTTGGCCATGACTTAGCTTCCAGAACTGCATTTGCTTTACTTAAGTTCTCACTCCCACTCCTTCTCTCATCTTCATCCAGCAAGGAACAGGGCAACAGCTTTAAAAAGTTAGAGGAAGAGGCTGAAGAGAATGTGGTGATGTTTTGTGCTCATGCTCACTGACATTCCTCCTTTCAGGCCACCTCTTGTCCATTACTGTCTGTAAAAAGGGTCCATTAAGCAGATCTCCTTGCCCTATTTGCTTGCTAAGTTGGTTTCATGGTTATTCTTTGAGAAGGAAATAGTTCAGTGTAGACATGAACTCATTTGGATTGGTGCCTTCAGGCAAACACAACTACAGTTTAAATCTTATGCATATGAGGTGTTAATAAGGCAGAAAGGAGGCCAGATTCCAAGGAGTAAACTGCTTACTGCAAGCTAGATCAGCTCCACAACAGCACTAGATAAGAGTTAGACTGCTCATTACCATACCACAAAGCCAAAATTAAGAACTACCTGCATGGGGATCCTTGTTGAATTGCATACCTAAAGCAAAAGCATTAACTAAACTCTAGTCTGCATTTTTCCTGCATTCTTCAGCCAGAAGTCTTCAAGTTCAGCTTTCAGTACTTCCAACACTGAAAAGCAGAAAGGATTGTCAGGAATTCTCATCAGTCAAGTGGCACATTTCGCTCAAGCATACATAACAAAATAAAACTGAGTAGGGGGGAAAGGATCCAAGAGCAGGCACAGACAGTCCAAGTAAGGACAGGCAGAATGTTATTTAGGAAAAAAGGAATGCAATCTTCTACAAGATAAACATAATAATTTGTGCATTAATTATAGCTCATTTACCTTCCTTATCCTCCTCCCAACTGGATTTAGAAGCAAAGGCCTGAGCCTTTATACAAACAAGCTAATGGATTCTAATGGCTTACCCAGATGCAATGTCATTTAATCAGAGCAACACTTCCATGTTCCCTGCTGTATTCAGGGAAGGAAAAAAAAATAAAGACTGCATCCACATTCATCTGCCTAATCTAAGCACCTCTAATTGTAGACAATTTTTCTCATGCTTTCATCTTAGAGGACTCTTTCCTCTCCCTTAAATTTAAGGGGTGAAAAAAAGTACAAATTTCTAGCTCCCTATTATTTCTCAGATCACTTTCCACTAATTCCAGTAATTCCAAAAGTCATTCATATGTTTATTTTATAGTAGTTACCGGTTTTTGTTCACTGTTTCCTCAACACTAAGTTTACTTCATAGGGAAACAGCCTGCATTTTAAAAAAATAGAAAGATTCCAGATTTAATTACTTTCACAAACGAGGCAAACAAACAAAATGCAACACAACCAAAGCAAGACACAACAACCCAATACTGTACCTGCTTTTTAAAGACTTTTCATCTTCCATTTCCCATCTGTCCCCAAATCCCATTCCCACCACATATTGTTTCTTTTGGTTCCATTCCATTTCCTTACCTCTGTTCTTTTTTATTTCACTTACTTGTTACTCCACACACTCTCAGTTCTTTGTCAAGACAATTCTTTCTCCATGGGAGTGGACCAGAGACCCAATGGGACAGTACAGTCACCGGTGCTTCTCCACACCCAGCATCAACAAAACCAGCCTGTCCAATTTCTTCTCCTGTACCTCTTACCTATTTAGCCCACTGAGGCCACCTGCTCAATATTCTCCTTCACCTCTCTCTATTACTTCATAAGGCAGGTAGATGCTTTCTCACAGCATTTCTCCTTGCTAAGTACCATTCAGTCTGTTTTTCCTTAGTTGTGTCCTACACAAGAGGCCTGTTTTTAATCTCAAGGTTACAGGAAGAGTACAAAGTAATTAATTAATGCTGTCACTCCACCAATCCCACCCATTTTACTAACAGGTTAGTATCACATGTGCACTCCACCCTATCTTACTCATATGACTTAATTCTTGGGCTCTTTTCCTGTCCCTTTGTTTTTGCAACCTGCTCTTGTGGTAAAGTCTGATCCTTCCCTGGACCTCATCACTACCTTTACTGCTCACTTGCCTCTCTCTCCCCACCATGTCTCTGCCAACCTACAGTACCCTCCTCTTCCTCCCTCTCTAGTTCGTATAGAATCTTAACACCATATCTCTGTTTGCATTCCCCATCATCAGCATAACTTTTCCTTCACTTGGCCCAAATTCTTGGCAAAACTCCCACTAATATTCAAAAAGACACCGGGTGCTTAGCATGGCCAGGAAGAACAGAGCACATGTACAGCAAAACCTGCAGCTCTTTCAGACAGGTGCCATTCCCTATGAGGATGACAAGGCACAGAGGCCAAACCTCACAGCACCATACCAGAGCACAGTCTGTCTTCAATTCATCTACGCTGGGGTCGACATGAACATCTACTGAACCCAACGGTGGAAGACAAGACCACCTCACCTCTCCCCAGACAAAACAATCACCTTCTTCAAGGTAAATGAAGAAACAAGAAAGCAGGTGAAAGAGCCACCTTGTGGCTGCCAACTTATTTCAAACAAAACCTGAAGTGCCAGCCATTCAATCCATTCCTTGATTCCTTTCTGTTGTACAAGCAGCTTTATTGTACAGGCAATTATTTCTGTACGCATTATTTTTCCTAGGGCACTTCATGTTCCCTTGCTTTTGCCAGAGTTGTCCATCTATTATAGCATCTAACAACTCCATGCACAAGAGCAACGTTTTCCTGATAGTCTTTTACACAAGCATTAGAGAAATTTGCTAAATAAGAACCTTTTGCTTCTGAAATGTGTTGTTACTGAATGTCACGCAGTGGAGAGCAACTGCTCTGCAAGTCAATGTTATGTCTCAAATGAAGCATTACAAGAAATATTTAAATCACATTTTATTTTTCAAATTCAAAAATAACAATTAGCTTTATTTAACATGTTACACATCTCAGATTTAAAATATCATGCTCTATTTAAATATCCAAGTGACAACACTATACAAATAAAATGTTACACAAAATATATTTAAGAAAATGTTTTGGTCTTCAATCTGAACAATAAATAGACAGGCACTTCTACACATACAAAGGAAGCAATCACTATTTAGAATAACTCTTATAAGCAAATGTGGAAATACAGAAGTTCTGAGTTTTGAGAACATGTTTAACTCTACATGAGACATCATGCAACTTCAAAGTTTGTTTCAAAATCCGAAACTCTTAGGATCTGCACAATTCTAGATTTGCTACTGCTTTACAGGAGATCCAAACCATGCTCTCGTAAGCAATGTGCAATTTCAGTTATTTGCATCAAACCTAGCTACCTGATCACATTTAGTGCCAAAACAGAAAGCAAGGACTGACCAGAGTAGCTTTCCACATAAATAACATGAGCAACAAGTCAGCTTTACCTCCTGTAAGCTTGGGCAGACGTAACTGTACCTATTGCCCAGCCTCAAACAAAATTCTTCCTGTTCCTTATATATTCAGCTGTTTTATGGGGTGTTCCCAACAGTATCACCTAATAAAAGGTTAAATCCTTCAGACACAGGCACGCTTTGCACAAAATAATCACAAGTAAAGGAGAAAACACTGTTCCAGGGTGCAAAAAGACTGAAACCCATAAATTAAAAAAATCCAATAGTCTCATAAGTGTTTCATACTTAAAACTACATTCTTCCAATTTGTGAATTTTCAATTTACAGTGGTTTCCACGCACCCCAACACAGACACTACTCAAGGAAAAATTCTCTTCCACCATCACGATTCATGAGAGATGCATTGTAGTAGGCAATCCCTGTTTCCAATACAGCTAACCAGTCACTGACAGCTAGTTATATCCTTGAAGTCCTATTCAAAATTAATTTAAGACAAATATTGAAACATAATGACCACCAGGACAGTGGAAAAGCCAGGACCAAGTCTTCAAGCCATCAAGTCAAATTTTAGTATTATACTTATTTTCAGATGTACTGGAAAAAGTTTTCAGAAAAAATTAAACTATTAAAACAGAGCTTCACTGGTCCACCAAGAAAGTCAGATCCAAACCAGGAAAGTTATTTGCACTTAAGACACTTATGCACATTGCTTTAACAATTTAAGTGTGGATCTTGCAAGCGTGTCCAAATCTTAATCATTTCTTGAGGTTTTCTACTATGCACTAACATTAAGTTTGTGTAGGAACATATGTTATTTCTGTATTTCTCTTCAATATCAAATGTTTTGAAGCCTTTGTGTTTTTCCGGAGCAAGCCCAAGCTTCTGAAGGCACATTCCAGTATAAACATCATCAATAGGATAAAGGAGTACCTGGTCAGATGCATTATTCAGTCTTAATGCCAGATCACCAGAGTACAGAAACCCACCACCTCCTGCATATGGAGGATACGAACCTTCATAAACACTTTCTGGGATGTAGTACTTCAATTTTTTTTCTCTGTGAGGTCCAGCATCTTTGATCACATCGCCTATAAATAAGTCTTTGGCTTTGTCCTTTGTTAAGCTCTTCAAGTAATCCAGGATCTGATTGGTATTCACAAAAACATCATCATCACCCTTAAAAATAAACTGGACATCTGCACAACTGCTGCTGACCCACTTGAGAAACAGTACCTCTTTCAGAGTTAAATTGAAGAAAGTGTCTCTGTAGTTCCAGAGGAGAATGTCTTGGTGGGTTTCACTCTCAAATCTTATCATGTCTGAAAGATCAGGGAAATTATCCTCTGGTGGGGTCTGCCCAAGTAAGAAGACCCTTCTGACTGTCACATCGCCTGATTTGATTTCCTTGCCCCAGGATTCCCTAATTGCTTGCCTTCTATCAAAATGGGGTGTAAGCGACTTAATAGCCAGCAGCAGAAAAGGTTTGTGTTTGCACTTGTTTGGCTGATCCATTAATAATGAATAATTTCTACATCTCAAATATAGTAGAAAGTCTTTGAATCTGTCTGGCAAGTTTGCAAAGTCACTAACCTCTGAAGCTACCCATGGGTCAGGGTCACACGAATTGAGAACACTCGCATTAGAAACTAAGTTCTCTTCCACAGTCATATTGGAAAGCAAGGTCAGAATAGGGTTGTAGAGCAGTTCAAGCTTCTGTTGCTGTCTGTTCCAATATGCTTTGTGAGGAGTATATTTTCTCCAGAACTTGCTGCGTGGTATAATAACACGTCCTTTTGCATTCTTCTCTTGGCTGCCACTTTTTGAGACTTCCACAATCACATAAATAAAAATGTTTACCATCATCAGAATTCCCAGCAGCTTTAATCTTCTGCGTCCAACACTCATTTCTCATATCTGGAAAGAGGAACAAAAACATGACAGACTTTTAGCTTCCCTATCAAGTTCTTCATCTCAAAACCACAAACTACTTTCAGACAAAGAACGTTCAACTTAGTAGCCTAAAACCAGAGGTTACCTACCACCCCCCTAACAAAGGCAAAAACTAACCTACCTCTAAGATGTGCACACCTACAGCTAGTAGCTGCAAACAAAAAGCTGTTAAGAATGTAAAGTTTTGCTGTGTCTAAGTTAGCCAGCAGTTTTTGTTCCTCATTTAAGTCTCCTTTAAACACTGGTCTGTATAGTAATTAGAATCTGAGCCCTCAGCTTGGCAAAGTCAGAGAAACATTTTTTTCCTGTTAGTAAGGCGAGCTTAGGGGTATAGAATAAATTGCTATACAATAAGGTCAGTTATTTTTAAACTAAGTTTCAAGCTGTTATACTTGCATTCCTATACCTTCCAACTACATAATAGGCAGAGCTGAATTTTAAAGCACACAATTAGTTTCTGTCCATTTCATTTGGCTGTTCCTTGGGAGAGAGGCTGACAAAACAGGCCAGCTGCATTGCTGGTATCCAGATCTCTGCAGACAGAAGAGAACACGAATTCTGATAGCTTTTTCTCCTCTCTCCAACTGGAAAAGAAAATTAATGGCCCCAGAAAGTGTAATGAGGAAGGAAATAGAAACTGAGAAGAAATGAAAAAAGGAGAGGTTTACTATTCATTTAAGACCAGGAATCGTAAGTTCACTTCTCCCTGTTGTAGCAAAGGTTATTCTGTGATCCATCTCCATTTTTTACTGAGTAAGAAAATGGATCAATCCCTCTTTCTTACACAGCTGTCAGAATGAAAGGTGCCCAGTACAAGGAGCAACATGAAAACAGTGTGTTCCTCTGAAGTGGTGCTTATCAAACTGTTTACTAGCCATGGGGTAATTCGATGTACAAGCCACACAAAATTTAAGAAGCCCTTCTAAATTAGGAAGTCAGACTAGAAAATAATTCAGAATTAGTAAGAAAGTAAGATTACACTGAAGTCAGATGCAAACTCATTGTTGAAGATGCTTTCATTAGCCAGGAGTACACTGGAAGTACCAGAAAAACCTCATGAAGAAGATTCGCAATCACTGTTAAAAGCCCAACCTCCAACACTGCCTCAGAGCTCCTGAAGTCACAGAGAACAGCAGCCAGGAAGACACGCTTGAGAAGTACACCTTGTACTTGCTCTTCATTTTATTTCCAGCCATCACCAGACACATGAGCTAGACTGACCCTTGGTCTCCTCTGGTTTGACCAGTCTTGCTTTCTTTTACTCCTCAGCAAGTGACACACAAACTTTAGTATAAGCAAGCTGCCAGTAAATAATCAGTAATACTGTTTCCTCTCATTTGACCCCTGGATTGTCATTAAATCCAAAGGAGGGGAGTATTTTGTACTTTAAATAAAAAGCCACTCCTAGGAACAATGGACTACTCGGTAAAAAATCCCTCTCTTCCTTCATTTGACATCATGTACCATCTGCATATTTATCTTTGCACACACTCAGGCCACATCTATGTTACTCAACATCCAGTTCTCAGGCAGCTATGAAGGTTGCTGTTCTAACTTTAAAGTGGTTTCCTTCTATACCTCAAAACCAAAAACAAATTATAGCACTGACCACATATGTAAGTTAAACAACTGAACTGTCAGAAAGCAGTGGCTTGGCCACACAGAGATCACAAAAACTTTATCTTCCTTTTTCAACTGCCACAGCAGCTTCCACTAAAACCAGATCATTATACACTGTTTTCTTCCCTTCCCTTTCAGTACAAGGGGAGAGAAGCAGCTGTCCCGTGTTTTGTACTATTCCATTAAGTTCAGCATGCACACCAGTGATTATCTACCCCATCCTCTATAGCACTTCTTACTAGAACAAATGATCTAAGATCCCAGGACTCAAGAGATAACGAGGTAAGAAGCTCCCCCCCACTAACAGTTAGCAAACACAGGATTGTCAGAAGCCTCATCTTCCAGGATATCACAGCTTATCTGTCACATCCCCCAGCTACTCAGCTATGCGTATTCAACACCTCTAAGTCATCTGGATGCTTGACCGGAGACTGTTTTGAAGACAATGAGACACCAACTGGCAAAGACTTTATTTCAATCACTTAACAAAATCCTTCAAATCACTAAGTCTCCTGGGTAAGCATTCCAATTCTGTAACAAGATCTTCCTTAATCTTCCTGGTTTTCATGCGTAGCCTTGCAACCCCCTACAGCAAATTAGGTGGGGATCCCACACAAAGATCTCCATTTACTGCTAGACTTGGTAGAGGCTGGCAAGATGACAGTGGTTCCGTTACATAAAGCACAGTAAATGCTATCAGACCCACATGTAAGTACTTCCAGTATAATTTTCAGTCTCCTTTTTAAAAAACTATCAAATATTGCTGATAAAATGAGTATTTCTGAGAAAACCTATGTAACAAGTGACATTCAGTTGCGATACAAAGAAGAGTTTTACAAGACATGAACATGCCCACACATGCAGTTTTGCACGAAAGCATTACTCTTTTAGGTAATCAAAAGCTATCCACATGTGGGTTTTTATTAGTCACAAGGGAAGGTGTGCTGCATTTGTAATGTTGCTAGTGGGGTAGCTGGCTTTTTTGTTTGGGGATATTTGGTTGTTGGGTTCCCCCCCAGGTAAACACACCATAAGGTCTCAAGGCAAATCTCATTTCTTCATCTCCTTTGCTGACACTGTAATGACTGACCAAAGCACCAGCACGATGGAGATTCTGTGCACTGGGCAGCTTGTGAAGAAGCAGCATTGTGAAGCACAAGACAACAGTCATTTCCTACTTACAGCTTAGCAACAGCAATCTGGACACATCACAAGAACTTTCTCCTGTTCTAGTAACAGCTTCTTCTATCAGCATTAATATTACTAATATAATATTACTTATATTATTATTATAATATT